CTAGGTACTTCTACCCAGTCCTATCACCCTGAGGCGAGGCGACTGCCCTAGCGACTTCGAGGTATATCTGCCGCGTCCGTAGACCGATGAGTCTCTTTCTATTCTTGTATTTAGTACTTAGCCCTTCTGTATTTTCTGTTCTTGTTAGACATTCCGAAGTTAGAGCTATGTAGTATTTCTTAGCTTGTGATTCGTGGGTTTCCGAGTTGGATTTATGTATTGGTATTGAGAGTTAAACATGCTGTATGCCGAGCGGCACATTTAAACACTGTTATTACTTTATTTCTATTTTAAACTGTTTTACTTCCGCAAATTTGATTTTTATTCCGCAATTTAGGCTTACCTAGTCGTAGAGACTAGGTTCCGTCACGACGGTTCACGGAGGGAGAACTGGGGTTGTTACAATGCTGATGCAAAGAGTGCAGGTGCACTCGCCTGCCACGTGGATTTTTTCTGTATATGTGATATTTTTTGAAAAATAGAATATATTTTTACCTTTTTAAGTCTGATACTTCTTTAGATAATCTTTTTCGAATACAATTTATAATAAAACTTGGATAGAACTACATTATTTAGGCCAAATATTTTTTATTTGGCTAAAAATAATAAAATTTCAATTAACTTTTTTTGAATTTGATCTGAAAATAAAGGTTTATACAATTGAAATAAATAGTCAAGGCATCTAAAAGTTATAAAAATACATAGTTTAAAATTAATTATTTTGGCTATAATTTTTTATATAGCTCTAAATTATGGTGCTCTAAAAAATATTTTTTTTACAGATTTTACCGGAAAAAATAAGAATACACAGTTGAAATAAATAGTCATTGCATCAAAAGAAGAAATAAAAAGATTGTACAATTTCTTCAAATGTGTATTTTTATTTCTCCAACTGTGTACAATTTCTTCAACTATAAAAAGAGTGTACTATTTTTATTTCTTCTTTTGATGCAATGATTATTTATTTCAAATGTGTATTTTTACTTTTTCAAGTAAAATTTCTAAAAAAATATATTTTTAGAGCACCATAATTTAGAGCTATATAAAAAATTATAGCCAAAATAATTAATTTCAAACTATGCATTTTTTATAACTTTTTAGATGCCTTGCCTATTTATTTCAATTGTATAAATCTTTATTTTCAGGTCAAATTCAAAAAAAGATTAACTAAACCTTTATTATTTTTAGCCAAATAAAAAAATTTAGCCTAAATAATGTAGTTCTATCCAAGTTTTATCATAAATTGTATTCGGAAAAAATTATCTAGAGAAGTAACATACTTAAAAAGGTAAAAATATATTTTATTTTTCAAAATAATGTCACATATACAGGAAAAATCCACGTGGCAGGCGAGTGCACCCACATTCTTTTTCACATCAGCATCCAGGGGGTAATGACTCTCAAAATGCCAAGTTGAGGGGGGTAATTAAGACCGCGAATAGTTTAAGACTGTAACTAATAATCTGTGTCAAGTTTAGGGGGGTTTTAAGATATTTTGCCTATATACAGATTAACTCAGCTTAATTGTGTGCTCTTTTTATTTTCTAAAACAACATCAGAATTAATGTTTAAACAAATCGATTGATGATGTTTTAGCTAAACAACTCCAGGTAGTTAAACAATCTAATGTTGTTTGTACTGCATGCTTAACTATTTCGTTTGATGTATCTGTAAATACTCTATTTTATTTGCAGCATGCATGTTTATGGAGTATTGACAGTAGTATATGTCGTTCCCCAGACAGTAGACCACCAATACTGATTTGATATTAGATTGTAGTTTTTTCCCAAAAGTTCCTGACAGACCTTCATTACTAGATATATATATATATATGTTGGCTTTTTTGATGAAGTATGCTACTAGTGCATCTCTCTATAAGCTAATTAAATACGTACAACGGGTATTCACTATTTTAAACATGCATGGATCAAAAGCATTTTGTTTTCCTGATTGATGAGCAAACGATACAAGTGCAACATTAAAGAGTTCGAGGATGATATATGTTTTAGCAGTGTACTACCTGATATTTCGAAATTCATCCAATAAAGTGAAAAGTTGCCGATAAAAGAAATTTGGGATTATAAACGTACGTAGGAAGAATTACGGCCTTGTCACTTGGCCCAACAACCTAATCAAAAACAACCCAAATTTAAAATCCTTACCCTATTTGACCCAGATTGTACATAACATTGAAAGAAATTTTTCAACCTTTAGCCCATATTAATTATTTTAAGGATTATATTCAGTTTCCACTTTTATTTTTATTTCTTCTCTCTTTTGTCACGCCATTGCTGTCTTCTTCTCTCTACTTTCTTTTGTCCAAATAGACCACAAAAAGTGGAGAGGACTTGAAATTTCTAAAGACAAAGGATGGGAGCTTTTGCAGATAAGAATCCTCATTTTTTCATGGATTTACTATTTTATTTTGTGTCTAATCACTCTCTTCAGACAAAAGGTGGTTGCAATGTATGAAAATTAAAGAATAGAAATTCACCATTGAAAGCCATTCAAAGTTTGGTTTTCGAAAATAAGATTTTTTGAGTTTGTTAGTTGTTTAGATTGGGTGTTGTTCCAATTGTGAGGCGTCACCTATGGTACACAAAACAGAATGTTGAAAAGTTGAGGGCCAAGGCCAGCGCCCCACGCTGCCCTGGATGCTCAAAACGTGAACATGTCCTATTTCGACCGGGACAAGGTTATTTCGGCCCTACGCGGTCCCAACTCATATAAAAGAGGCTCTAAACATAATTTGAAGGAGATCTAACATACTGTGAGGGAGAATAGACGTGGAGGAACACACACCACGCTTGGAGGAGGCTTTCAACTAGTGTTTCTTCTCCTATCTTCCTTTAATTTCATATTTTTTTATTCTAGAGAACATTGTAGTTTGAAGCTTGAATTATTCTTATTATTTTATCATATTGGTTTATTTTGTTCAATCTTGTACTTAATTATTTGATTGCTTGATCACCAATTGAATACTATCTACGAATCTAGGATTGAACTCTGGAGAGGGAATTCTAGATTGCATATAAGATTGAGTAGAGCAAGATCTTAACTCTGAGTGGGAGGCGGATTTGCAGTTAGGATAGGAATATACCTAATCCCCTTGCTTGGTTACTATACATGAATTATTAATGCGTTCTAATTAATTCTAATTCCATAGGAATATAAGCGTTAGATTATCTTGAATAGGCGAGTAGTACTTCAAGAGAAGGCTAATATTAACCCTGTCAATCAATAAAACAGATAAATTAATTAGACGATCTAGGTGAAAAACTCAACGGGATTGTTAGTTAACCCATAGCTCTAGAATATTGTCTCTCATTGAATTTGTCTCTAAAATTCTCCAACTTGTTTCTTTAATTTCTTAGTCTGTTACTCTAGATTAATTGTAGTTAAATACTCATACTTTAGGAATCACTTAAATAGATTAATTGTTTGGGTTTAATTTAGTTGATAGTTAACCACAAGTCCCTGTGGGTACGATATCTGGACTTACAATCCTATATTACTTGTTGACCATGTGCGTTTCGGAGCAACAAGTTTTTGGCACCGTTGCCGGGGACTTAGAAATTAACTATTTTACTAGATTAGGTTTATAATTTTTGTCTATTCAAGTTTTTAAATTTTAGCATAGTTTAATATTTTACTATCTTTGTTGATATGGCATCTTGGTATGATAATTGATCGAATATTGGTTATTTTTATGATGGTGATCCTTGTCCATATTATGAAAAAATTGTGTATCTCAATCTTATGTGTGAAATTTGTGTAATGTGTGTGGTGGTCAAGGTAGCCATTTGGATGATTGTCCTAATTCTTATTATCCTTCTCAGAACTCTTATTATGATGTTTCTAATAATGTTTATGAGTTTGATAGGAAAAATGAAGTGGAGGATATGGAACGTGTTGCTCGTATTATTGACATGATGAGGCAAGTTGCCAAGCAATAAGATGAAAATCAAAAGGCTATACAAAGAATTAGTGCAGCAATCATGAGAATGAAGGCCGAGGTGGAAGAATTGGCTAAAGAGAGCGAGTTCCCACTAGAAGATAATTTTGAAGAAGCAGATATAGTGAACCAATCTTGGCTAGAGGAACAAGCTCAGCTAATAAAAATTTTATGAGTCTCTCCGCGATGGTCTTTCAAATATGATTGAACAATTGATAGAAAGAAGAACTGAGCTCAGGCAAGAGATAGACTAATTTGGCTGAGATATCCATGACCTGCAGACTAAATTAAATAAAAAGGTTGAGACGTCTGATGACCTACAATCAATTGTTGTAGATATTGGCCAACTTATGGAGCAAAAAGGGAAATCCCAACTATTCGGCCAAATTATTAATGATGCCAAGGTTGACGAAGTGCGCAAAAGTGAGGATGTCAAAAGTGAAACCATTCTAGAGTTGGAGCGCATTGGACCTTATTCTAACCATTTTTCATTGAGCTTGGTTGGTGACATGAGAATTGATCCATTTGAGCATATGGATGAGTCAATGGATGAGGAAAAAAGTTTTTATATTCTTAAGTTTACCATACCAAGGAGACAAGACGACATCCCACGTTTAAGGGCCAAGAAGTGCAAGATGTGATACCTATTGTTTGGTTCCTTTATTTTTACACCACCGCCCCAGGAACGTGACAAAAAAATTGATGCAAAATTGGGATGCAATTCATATCCTCAATGGAAGGAAAAGTGGTGAAGCGATAACGTCGAGACACGACTATAAATAAAGCGCTTGTTGAGAGGCAACCCAATTTTATTTTTATTTTTGGTTATTATTATTTTTTTATTGTGTCACTTTAACTTAACTATATAATAAGTGAATGTGCCCATGGACGAAGAAGGGTAGTTCAGTAAAACCAACACTTTTTATGGGTATTTTGGTTCAACCCTTTTATCCCTTTTTTTTGGTGACACGTGGTGTAACACTTTCAAAAGGTGGGATGCAACTGGATTTTACCTAGATTTTCATTTTTCATACTTTTCACCTGATTTTGCCATTTCTTCTTCTTCTTCCATATCCTCTATTTCTTTTTCATTCTCTGTAGCGTTCCTCTGTTTTTGCTTCCTTTTTTTTTTTTTTTTTTTTTTTTTTTTTTTTTTTTTTTTTTTGTTTCTCTGCTCTCTCTCCGTTGCAGGCTCACCTTCTTCTGGTCATTTACCCGTTGAAGATGCATTTTGGTATTAATTTTTCCTGTTGGTTTTCTTTTGTGTTTTTTCCTCTCTTTGATTTATTAGATATGTTTTTTTCAAATTTTGTTGTTGTCAGGTATTTGGGTTCTAATCATGTTGCATGTGTTGGCTTTCACATCATTAGGCATTTGCATCTACTTCTAGATGAAAGCAAAAGCAATTCCAAAGACGATATACAACACGCAGAAGAAGCTTCATATTGCAAAAATCTATAGATCTGCCGGAAAAATTGCAAAATTGCTATTTAGTTGTAATGCAGGTGCCTTCAAACATAGCTCCTTTTATATTGTCAAGTAAGGGGAAATTATTTCAAGATTTTGCCTCTCTTCTCTGTGAACAATAGATATAGTTTGTTAGTACATCATTTTCATGGTTAGAGTAGAAAAGCCGTCACCAAGTAATTCATTCTCACTGTTAATTTTTTTAGCTGATACAAAATTACTGATAGTTCACTATTCCCTTTTCTTAAAAGTCAGAAATGTTAAAGTTACACATTAGAACTGTTACTTTATAATGCCTCAAGTGTGTATTTCTTTTTCATTATTTCTTAATTTTTGTGAAAAATTAGAGTTATGTGTATTGCTTTGGCTCTGATTCCTTTTGCTTTTCAAATGAGAAAATTGCTTTAGTTCGTGTTCTTAGTTGATTTCTTGAATATGATTTTTGTTAAATTCATGTTGTGTTTCGTTTTACCATATTGGAAGAACCTAAGCAAAGGAAAAAGGGAAAAATAATTATGAGATTGTTATTGTTTAACCAAAAAAATGGGATTTCGGTTAAAGCTTTAATTTAGAAGAACTCGGGTTACTGGTAATCAAAAGAATATATGAAATAAAGTGATTTGGCCAGCAATAAGATAATCAGAAGAAAAACAAGTAAATTGGTATATTCAGATAGTATTTCGTGTCCCTACAGTTGATTCATTCTCTCCCTTTTATAGCTATTCTAGAGATATGCATTTTGCCTTTGTCATAATAAGACGATTAAAGACATTAAATGCAATATTACATAATCATTATATTTAATACTTAGTATTTAAGACTTATTAATTACTGTATCTGTACTCCCATGTAGTGCCAGATTCATTCCCCTTGATTTTTGGACTTAAATAGGTACGAGCGCTGAGTCTTTTGAATAACCGCTCATGCCTCTTCCTTTGCCTCTACTTGTATTTGTTGCAACTCGTGCCTCTTTGCCAGTTGTAATTTTTTGACCAGTCTATGTGTCATGACACGTCATCTTTACACCACTTTAATATGTAAACTCAATTTCTCCCAATACAGATAGTCCCTCCACTTGCCATTTATTCATCGATTGAATATTTGGGAAGTGGATTTCATTAGAATGAGGATTTTTGTCACCATTAATGCTAACAGAATCGATACTTCAATGGTCACATCCATTAAATGCTTTTCACACGTGTCACTTTTTCATTAGATTCGCAGTTTTGCAGCATTTTTAAGGCTTTTCCACGGCTTCACTATTCACGAAGCATTAGTTATCATTATTATGGTCCTTCCATCATTGTACCTTTTTCTTTGATGGTTGCTTATCAGTATAAATATAGTTTCCTTCTTTGTCTTTACCATATAAAGTTTTCTGAACATTCAATTTTCTCAAATCTCTGTTTGCTTCTTCATCATATTATCATGTCTTCATCAGACCCTAACCCTAGAAAGGTTCCCATTGTTGATACCTTTCCTGATGCCTCCACTAGGAGCAAAAGAGGAGGTAGGCCCCGTAGTTTAGGATCTGCACGTGGTTTTTCTATTCCTTCACCTAGTTCTGGCCCTTCTTCTAGAATTAGAGGTTCTTTTTCACAAAGATCTTCTAGGGGTAAAGAACCTTCTGAACCTCTTCGTGAGCCTTCAGTAGAAGAGATAGTTCCTGCGGAACTGTCTTTTTATCATGACAGAGAGTCTCTTAGAAACCAAGTATCTTCTTTAGATCGTGCTGATATCTACCCCACTCAAATTACTAAAGGTTTGATTTCTATAGTTCGTAGAGATTCCATTGGAATCATAATTTTCCTATTATCATTTTCAATCCGAATCAAACAATTACTTCCTACTTAACCGGATTTTCTTTTGTTTATATATACCCTTTCACTTTAGGATTTAAACCAGCTATTGGCCATGTTATCCTTGAGTTCTGTCATTTCTTTGATGTTTGCTTGGGTTAAATTGGCCCAATAATATGGAGGGTTGTTGTCTGTTTGAGGCATTTGACCAACACAGCCAGTGTGCCTTTTACTTTTCCACATCTGATCCACCCTTACTCCCCTAGACTCTTTCGCAATGAAGTTTTTACACTAGTAGTCAGGAGCAAAAGAGTTTTGGTAAGTCCTGAAGATGACAAAGACCATGGCTGGTATGCCAGGTTTGTTGCTGCCCCCACTGTTGCTTTAATGGGTGATGAGGACGTTCCCCTTCTTGAGAAATGGAATTTTGAACGTGAGTCTTCTGACTTTCTCGTACCTTTTTCTTCAAGTTTGTTGATTTTTCTTCTAATTTTGCTTTTCTTTTTCAGCAACCATGGGAGTTGTGGAAGATGTTCCCAATTTTCGTGATTGGGTAGACAAGCTATTGAAGATTGCTCCAATGGATGGTAGATCTTGGAAGATCCTTTCCCAACGATTTGGTTGGAAAGTAAAAACTCATGGTAAGAGCCTTTGTTTTATTTTATGTTACATATATTTTTTGTTTCTAAATTCAATCATTATATCAGGATTTGCTATTCAAGGAGTTATTGCCGAGGCGGTTGCGACTTCTCGTATCTCTTTGGAAAGGGCCCAAAAAAAAATCTTGAGTTCTTTATCGAAGAGAAAAGCCGTTAATGAGCAAGATTCTGAAGAAAAGGAAGACGAGGGCTCTTTGGTATCAAGGCCACGGGCTCGAAGACGCATCATTTCTTATGATGAAGAAGAAGTATCCCCCAGCCGTTCTATTCCCCTTACCGAGTCTGTTGAGGCCCTGAAAGTGATTCTTGACGATGATGTGGCTCCCGCTGCTGCTCATGCCTCTGTTGAGCAGTTTTTTATCAGCGGGTTTGGTGGTGAAGCCTCAAGCCCAGTTTTGGATGAAGCACCTCTGGCTTCTTTTTCTACACCCATGTCCGTGACTCCTTCTTTACCGATCTCGGCTGTTTCCGTTCCTCCCCTGACTGTCTTTACTACTTGTACTGTTCCTACTTCTACTGTTCCCCCTACAGTCATTCACCATGCTGAAGTCGGCTCCTCAAGTAGGAGTGGAGCTATGAGGCAAGTGGTCATTAAAGTCACCACTGAGGGCAATCTCTTAAGAAAATCGGGTCAAGCAGATGTATGACTAAAGACCTTAATTGGACCAATTTAAAAAGCCAAGCTAGATAGCCATAACTCCTTGACTTTTATGAATGATATTATGCACGGTTTTTTAAAGGTATTCCCTTTCTCTTTTTTCCTTTGTTATGTTTTTAAAAAAAATTCTATCTTTGAGATTCTCATTTCTTTTCCTTTTTTATTGTAGGCCAATCTTATCGGTATGGAGATGATGAAAAGGATTGCCCTCTCAGAGTAATTAGTGCGCGATTCTCAATTAGAGGCGTGCAATTGGAAGGAGCAGTATGAAAGCCTTCAAATTGATGTGGAGTACTTAGAAGAAAGTAAAAGTACCTTGGAGCAGCGGGTACGGGCCTTGATTTCAGAGTTAGCAGTTGAAAAGGCTTCCTCAAGTCAAGCGGATAAAAAAAAGGCTCGTCTTGAAACCTCTTTTTTCGAGCAGCTGTCCAAGGCAAGTGAAGAGATTAGAGAGTTGAAGGCTCTCTTGGGTGAGAAAGATGCTTATGCTGGAGAGCTCGTGCAGAATTTGACTCAAGCACAAGAAGACCTCCGAGCTTCTTCTGATAAGGTTTGTGCCTTGAAAAGTTCTCATGCCTCTCTTCAAGCTTCTTACACTTCTGCCTTGGCCGAAAATGAGAAATTAAAGAATGAAATTGCTGACTGAGAAAGGGATTATGAAATCCTTAAGGATAAATCTGCCATTGAAGTGAGTTGGGCATTTTTGAATTCTCGCCGTGATACCCTAGTTGAAGCTAGCCAAGAGACTTTTGATTTGGAATCTGAGTTAGCTAAAATCAATGAAACTATTGAGAAAGCTCAGCAAACTCAAGATTTTCCTTCTCTCGTGGACGAAGCTTCCGTGAATGTTGAAGTTGATATGGGTATCCCAACTCCTTCAAGTCCAGTTGAGCCCGCTGCTGTAAACCCAGTTGAGCCCGCTGCTGTTGATGCATCTTCTTCCGCTCCTACATCTTCTTAGTGATAAGTTTAAGTCATTTGAATTTTTTTGTGTTGTTTTGTTTTTTGGAAAAATTGTGGTAAAACCCTTGGCCTCATTTGAGGGTTTGTTTTGGAAATTCAAGTCCCCGGTCCTTTCATGGGGCAATTTGTATAAACAATTCGCAGTTTATGACTAAGTTCGTACTTAGTCTTAAGCTATTTAAGAAGTTTTCTCGTTACTATCTTGAACTTTTGTTTAGTTTATTCTTGCCTTTATTTCTAAGGACTTATAGAATAATTTGCATTTTTATTCTTTAAAAATGCTTCTATTAATTTCATGAATATTAATCATGAATTTTACAAAAGAGGACCCTTTTATATTCGACACTTAATAAAGAAGACGTCTCATCTTCATAATGGTGTTAACATATGATAAAAGAAATAGGATTATACATGTTTCTTTGAAATAATTTTGACAAGTTTTTATTTGAACTTTGTCTAGTTTTGAATAACACTTTACACGTATTTGAATTACATCTATAACTTTCTCGTAACTGTTTTTCTTGTAACAGATTTAAAAAAAATAAACACAAGGTTTTTATCTATAACCTGTTTCAGTCGTGACTTTGCTCTGCACTTGACTCATTCAATGAGTAAACTTTATTTTCTTTGCCTTCCTTATACACATGTCCGTGTATATTATGTAGTCCTCCAAGTGTTTGAGTGTTGAAGTATGAAGCCTCGAGCGCTTGACTGTTCCTCTCATTTGGTCCTTTCCCTGTAAAAGAGAAACATACGAGACTCGGAGGTACGATTATAGATGCAGACTGCTTAACCCGTTTGAATTTCTATCAGAATAATTGTAACTCTAGGCCAGGAAATTTAATTTATTCTACATGCCTTGCAGGTCGTGACTCATCATTTAGTACGGGTTAACGTTTTTCCTATCATCTAAAATTGTTAGTAAAATTTTAACAATTCAAAAATTAAATTTTAAAATATGGATACCTGACCGTGGGTATTCTTCATAAATAATATCTCTTCAGATGAACGACGTTCCAATGTGAAGGTAGTATCTTGTCATCCATTGTTTCCAGTTCGATGCTCCTTTACCTGCAATATCATGAATTCTATAGGGTCCTTCCCATGTTGGACTTAATTTCCCCGAGTTTGCTGCCTTCGTAGATTGAAAAACCTTTTTGAGTACAAAGTCCCCAATTTTGAAGAATCTGAGGCGTGCTTTTCTGTTGTAGTATCGTTCTATGACCTGCTTCTGTGCTGCCATTCTTATTAGTGCAGCTTCTCTTCTTCCTTCAAGTAAATCAAGATTTACATGCATTTCCTTTTCATTAGATTCTTCTGTCGCCTGTGTGAATCGTGTACTCGGCTCTCCTATCTCAACAAGTATTAAAGCTTCAACTCCATAAACCAATGAAAGTGATGTTTTTCCTATACTTGTTTTTGCTGTTGTGCGATATGCCCATAAAATACCAGGTAACACTTCTAGCCAATTACCTTTGGATTCCTCTAAACGCTTCTTTAAATTGTTGATAATGACTTTGTTTGTTGACTCAGCTTGCCTATTACCCACCAGATGATAGGGTGTAGACGTAATCCTTTTAATCTGCTAACTTTAAAAGAATTCCGTAATTTGAGTGCCTATAAACTGTGGACCATTATCAGAAATGGTTTCCTTTGGCACACCGAATCGGCATATGATATTCCGCCAAATGAAATCTTTAACTTCCTTTTCTCGTACCTTTTTAAATGCTCCCGCCTCTACCCATTTAGTAAAATAATCAGTGAGAACGAGCAAAAATTTTACCTGTCCTTTTGCTTGCGATAGTGGACCCACGATATCCATCCCCATTTCATAAATGGCCACAGTGCAATACTGGATGTAATAACTCTGCAGGCCTATGCATATTATTACCGTACCTTTGGCATTTATCACATTTAGCCATGAAACTTTGCGCTTCTTCTTCCATTTTGGGCCAATAATAACCTGCCCTAATTAAGGTTCTTACCAATGACCTTCCTCCTGCGTGATTCCCATAATGCCCCTCGTGTGTTTCTCTCATTACGTATTCCATCTGAGAAAGTCCGAGGCATCTTGCTAAGGGACCACCGAACATTTTTCAGTAAATATTGCCTTGCTTTAAGCAATACCGAGCATCCTTTTTTCGAAGCACATGAGCTTTCTTCTTATCTTCAGGGACGGTACCATACTGCAAAAAAGCAATAATCTCGTTCCTCCAATCCCAAGTTAAGTTATTAAAATTTACCTCATTCTTATCGAGGTCGAGAACTGAATGAAACAAATGAATAACTGAAGTATTTTCATTGCTTGCCACGTCCGCCGCATATGCAAGGTTAGCTAGGGCGTCGGCTTTAACATTTTCATCCCTTAATATTTGTGTTACTTTCCAGGTTTGAAATTGCTTTATCAAATCCCTTACCTTCTCTAAGTATTGCTGCATCCTTGCTTCCCTGGCCGTATAAGTCCCCAGCATTTGATTAAATATGAGCTGTGAATCGCTTTTGATTATAATCTAATTTATGCCAAGTTCTCGTGCCAGTTATAAACTTGCAATCACAGCTTCATACTCTACCTTATTGTTAGTTATAGAATGACATTTTATAGCTTGTCGAATAGTTTCACCCGTAGGTGGTACCCAAACAATCCCTAAACCAGCGCTCTTTACGTTAGATGAACCATCAGCAAACAAGGTCCAAGTTCCTGGGTTAGCTCCGTTGAACACCTGCAACTCTTTTTCTGCTTCTAATTGCATCTCTTAGCTAAAATCAGCCACGAAATCAGCTAACACTTGAGATTTTATAGCAGTTCTAGGTTGGTAGGTGATATCATATTCACTTAATTCTATAGCCCATTTAGCTAACCTACCTGACAATTCATGCTTATGTAATATATTGCGTAATGGATAAGCAGTTACTACAACAATAGGATGACATTGAAAATAAGGCCTTAATTTTCTAGATGCCATGATTAATGCAAGTGCAAGCTTTTCTAATTGAGGGTACCATGTCTCCGCATCTAACAAAGATTTGCTAACATAATAGATCGGAGATTGTTTACCTTGGTCTTCACGGACTAAAACAACACTTACCGCTACTTCTGAAACAACAAGGTAGATGAGCAGTCTTTCCCCAGCCTTTGGTTTTGCGAGCAATGGTGGATTGATAAGTATGTCTTCAAATTTTTGAGTTCTTGTAGACATTCCTCGTTCCATTCAAAGTGATCTTGCTTTTTAAGAGCTGAAAAGAATTTAAAGCACTTTTCTGATGATTTAGAAATGAATCTTCCTAAGGTTGCAATTCTTCCTGTCAACCTCTGCATTTCTATTTTTGCTTGAAAGCATATCAGGAATTTCTTCAATAGCCTTAATCTGTGCGAGATTCACTTCAATACCATGGTTAGAAACAAGAAAACCCAAAAACTTACCTGATGCGACACCAAATGCACATTTCTTCGGATTTAATTTCATATTAAATTTGCGCAAAATCAAAAATGTATCAGACAAGTGTGATATATGATCTCTCGAATGTTGAGTTTTAACGAGCATATCGTCTATATAAACCTCCATGGTTTTTCCCAGATGTTCTTGAAACATTTTAGTAACCAGCCTTTGATATATTGCACCAGCACTTTTGAGACCAAAATACATTACTTTATAATAGTAAGTCCCCCTGTCTGTTATGGATGAAGTTTTTTCCTCATCAACTGGATCTATTTTGATCTGATTGTACCCTGAATATGCATCTAAAAAACATAATAGTTCATGCCCTGCAGTAGCATCAATTAGCTGATCTATATGTGGAAGTAGAAAAGAATCTTTGGGACAAGATTTATTAAGGTCTGTGTAATCCACACAAACTCGCCACTTACCATTCTTTTTAGGAACTACAACAGTATTGGCTAACCAATTAGGATACTTTACCTCGCAGATGGATCCAATCTTTAGCAATTTTTTAACCTCTTCTTGAATCACCTGATTCTTGAAAGTTCCTTGCTTTCTTTTCTTTTGTTTGACAAGAGGGTATGTCGGGTTTTCATTCAATTTGTGACTCATTACCTCCGGTGGTATTCCTGTCATGTCAGATTGGGACTAAGCAAAACAGTCCACGTTAGTTTTTAAAAATTCAATTAACTTACCTCTCATGACTTGGCTTAGATTGGTCCCTACGTAGACTTTCTTATAAGGCCATTGTGCAAATACCACCACAGCCTCCAGTTCTTCAATTGTTGTTCTGTTATTTTAGTTTTCTTCTGGTTCTTGAATGCTATCAGGCCTTGAATCCACATCTGTCCGCCCTTGTTCAGTTGAGGTTTGGGCTGTGACGCCCTCAACTGTCTTCTGTGATTGCTATTTTTTTTTTGATTACTTGAATCTGCTACAGATTTGATGCTCCTGGATGTATGTTGATCTCTGCGGATTTGACATATTCCCCATGATGATGGAAATTTAATAACTTGATGCAAGGTTGAAGGAACGGTATCCATTTCGTGGATCCATGATCTCCCAAGGATCATATTGTAAGTCATCTCCATATCTACTACTTGAAACTTTGTAACTTTGACAACTCCTTCTGCGAATGTGTTGAGTGTTACCTCTCCTTTTGTCACAACACTAGAATTGCAGATAAAGTATGCGCCTTTGGTAATTGCATCTTACGTAATACTCTTAACAAAATAATGTTGACGAAACTACCTGGATCAATCAAAACTCGTTTCACATTAGTATCATGCACAATTAATGATATTACTAGGGCATCGTTATGAGGGGATACTACGCCATCCCCATCAACATCATCAAATATAATACTGTCTTCCTCTAATACATGTCGCACCCGTTTCCCTTGAGTAATTGTGACTTTAGAAATTTTATTAGCTGCAGTGTACATTACGCCATTGACGGTCCTTTTGGGAGAAGGTGGTTTAGGGGGGTTTCTGCCTATTCTTCATGTAAGCTTGCTTACCTTTCTCACTGAATAACTCGGTGAGATACCCTTGTTTTAATAAATGATCAACTTCACTTTGTAAAAATCTACAGTCTGCTGTTTTATGCCCGTGATCATTATGAAACTCACACCAATGATCAGGGTTGCGCTTGTTTGGATTTGATATCATCTCTTTTGGCCACCGTACCTTGTCACCCATGCTTCTCAAAATAGCTACGAGCTCGGAAGTGCTCACATTGAAATTG